TTAGAATCAAACAGATAACTTGGATTACGCTGTTTAGGCATATAACTGAAAAAACATATAACATAGCACTTAACGATTATTGACGAAAATTTGACTTACAGCAGCTATATCATGAACCGAACGAATTTTGCTAACAATTTTTCAAACTCTCTTAGGGCTGCATACAAAATTATTGCTTTAGTTGATTAGATCTTGTACATTAGAGTCCGAGTGTCCTCTTAAGTAATTATAAGGCTCATATTGAGAGTGGTGTATTTTCACAATTACAACTATTCATGCACAGTATGTCAATGTTTTCGAAGAAAATAATTTGTAGTAAAATTTTTTTTATTTGTCATTCGGTAGTTATTTACCAGTAGTTTAGTCTACTTCAATGATCAATTTCAGTTTTATGTTAAATTTGAACAAAGCGATGAAGGAGTTTTAGTTAATTCGCATTCTTTTATTTCTTGATCAGTCTCACTAACCACAAAACTCAATCACAACGCTTTAAATCAATTCTTTTCTAGAGCTGCATACAATAAGCTCGAGTAACATAACTATATTCCACTTAATTAATGAAGTTTAGTAATAGAACAGCCAATCACAATGCAAGATAGCTGCCTGTTTTTTTACTGATGTTTTCATCATTGATGGTTAGTTTGTTATGTGACGTATTAGTTGTGGTTTTACAATTTTAATAAATATTTTATAAATTAGTTTAAAAGCTTGAATCCTTCGGTATGCTTACCTGATTATTTAATAGTTCTGTTTTTCAGAATCGATTCGATAAAAAACGGAAGGTTATTTCAGCTGGAAAATTTATCATTTGCTCAACCACTCTTGTTTTCTACTGACTTATCGCAATACACTAAGCTATCGGAACTTAAGCGATTCGTACAGTAAGTAATCAGAACATCATTCATCAGTAAAATATAGATTTTATTTGGCGACTGAACAGTACAAGGATACGAGAAGGATACAGATAAATAATATTTCAAACCGAAAAATTCCCATTAACTGGTTACTGATACTCGAGTTATTTTACGCCATATCTTCCTCAGTAATAAGCGCTTGCTACTGAGGAATCCAAAGTCAGAGTAAGACTGTCAACTAGTTCGTTTCGACATTTTGCTTAACTGTAGTTTCTCTCTGATATTACTTAACAATAAATACATTTCCACCATTTTCCGAATCGCATAAATAACTTACTGTAGTTAATTAGACGTAGTTCTACGTAGTGGTATGGAATTGATGAAAATTATTTTAAATGCAGAACAGTTTATTAAAATATATCTTTAAATTATAATTGTCAAAAATATTTTCCTTCTCTGCATCTATAATGAGATTATTTAATTTGATAAAATACTTAGAAACCATTTGTTCGTACATATGCTCGTTATTTACTTATTTAACATAATCTTTGAAAGAATTTGTTAATTAATGATTGAATAACTTGTTAATTTTTGCCTACAGTAAGTACAACATCTAATATGTAAAAAGACATTCTACAACATCGATAGTAACAAAAGTCTAAATAGACAGAAACGGGTGGTTATGTAATGAACAAACGCTGATAACTAGTAAGAATAGAGTATGTATTCACTTGTTTCTAACCTTTTAGACGTTTGTTATTATCAGTATCGTAGAATATCATTTTATACAACGTTTATATTTGCAATACGTTATTTAGCGTACTAAAATTTATTTGCACTTTCTCTATAGTGTACCTATGTGTGATTTTAGCAAGTGCCGACTAAACTTCTTCATGTGACTAATTTTAAACCAATTTTGTGTACAAATTATGCGAACCCAACGAAATAAAATGAATTCATGTTATTCTGTTCAAATCTTTGTGCTTGACCTCTTCAAGAGGGAACTATGTGAAAGAATAGAGCACTGTCATGTCATTAACATTTCTCAACAGGTTTGAACACAAACTAAATTTGAAAAAAAACTCATGAAATTTAATTTGAGGGGTTTTTTAGTGATCAGCTTGATTTCTAGAAATTATCTGTCACAAATTAACCTTTTCTGAGGTATCGTTCTAGGACGAATTCTCCTATCAATGTTTTGAGACTGCTTTTGACACCCCATCTAGGTTCAGTATAAGATGAATACCAAGGATAAACCAAATTATGTAACAAAAACCCCATCACTGTCACTACATATATGTGCTCACTAGTGATGTGCAAGTGGGAAGTCATGGCTGATGTGGTTACATCACAACGAAACTAACCAGATGCAATAGATATCATTGCACGATCACGTTTACGTATCAAGAATTTATAAAAGTTGATAATGAGATTATTAGACTGAAACTCACAAACCGATGCTTTTGTTTAGTTTACTTATGTTCTGTTTAGTGACTACTATTCTTTATTAGCTAATTTGAGTTGATATAAAGTAAGAAAGGTTATCTTTTTCAAATTAAGCCTAGTCCACACGTTCGCAGATACATCCAAGGTCTTATGTAAGTTCTAAATTGCTTATTTTGAGTTTGAGAATGAATTATTTGTCAGGGTATATGAACTTGCGTAAGCAAAGAAATTTAGCCCGATACAATACAATGAAAAGTAATAACTTTATCAAGTCTCACGAATTATCGATTTAAATTAGTTTAAATTTGGAAACAAGCGTAGCATACACTGAATTGTTCTACTTCAGTGGCATTGCATCTTCACCTTAATGAACAAGTAAGTTGTCAGTCATTGTATCTTTAAGCTTAAATTGTTTACGACCATTTCAGTTGATTGAGTAGATTTTATTGCATTCAAACAATAAGAATTGATTGTGGTTTACCGAGAAAATAATGCCCGCAAATATTGATAATGATAAAACATTTGCAGAACCATGATATCCATCGATAAATATAGCCTTAAGTTTACTTGCCTATCAGGAACATTATAAACAGGCTCAGAGATCATGAAAAGCAACCCTAAAAATAGCCTCTTGCAAAGGAAATGAAGTTGAGTTTCTATATGTAAAGTGTGTTGAATAAATTTGAAGATATGCATAAGTCGGCCAACAATCGATTACATGGGAATTTGAAAAGGAGTCTTTGAAGAAAACAGTAAATATGCATTTTTGGATCCTGGCAGGGGAATAGCCAAAATGAAATAAGTGTATATAAAGAAAATTATAGTTAAACAACAATCAGTACCTAATTATAATATTTCTGTATTGGGCAAACCTATTAATGATAAAACAGAAATTTGATACTCTAAGTGACTTGATTGAAACTATAAATCATTGTTGGGCAGAGTTTTGGAGGTTTTGTGTTTTTACGCATTTGAAATCATCAATCAATCATTGTTAAACCACCGTTAGAAACCTGGAAGCACTGGACGGCCACTTCGTCCTGGTATGGAACTCATCAGCAGTGCGCATCCACGACTCCTGCACCTCGCAGGATTCGAACCCAGGACCTTCGGTATTGTGCGCGAACGCCTAACCATCGGACCATGCCAGGCCGGCATCCAACGGTGTTAATGTCTAACTCTGATTGATCTACGGATTTTTGCGCGACGTCAACCATTTGTCTTTGGTAGTTACTGCCTACACCCGACAGGGTTGAACTCCATTAGTCACGTCTTCTCAACTATAACTCCGAGAATTTCCTCACGAAGCTAGTCACTAGTGAGCAATGTTACGATATTTTCGGGCAGAGTTTTGGAGGTTTTGTGTTTTTACACATTTGAAATCATTGATCATTCAATGAACACAAAACAATCAGTAAGATCGTGATGTTGTTATACTAGGAAAATACGATTATAAAGTTGTTAATAAATAGTGTATTGTTAAAATTGTAACTTCTGAAATGTGAAATAGACAGGAATTAAACACACAACTAAATTCAATCGGTTTCCAACAAATTGATTATCTTTTATTAGTTTGAACGTTTACTGAATTAACAATGTCGTAATCACAGTTAACTCGTGCTAACCGAATAGACGAAAATTTCGACAGAAATTAACAAGAATATGTACTTTATTATTTTAAAATTTTGTTCTGTCGTAATTAATGTGATGTTTCTAGTAGTATGATTTCGATAGGTACGTCAATCTTAACACACAAGTACACATGTATTTGCACAATCTGAATCACCAGTAAACGTGAAGCTACTGACAAGATAACTGAAGTTTGTCGCACATATATATATATATATATATATATATATATATATACCAATCAAAAGTCTTGCTTGTTTTCATTTGGAGAATATAAACATGTCTATATGTCCTAATTTAAGGTTATGATTGCATGCATGCATGCATGTTTGTTTGTTTGCTTGTTTGTAAACACAGAAATGTGTGTCTGTGCTGAAGTATAATATGGGAAAAAAGTTAACTTTTTGTCTCTTCTGTCTTATTAAAACTGTTCTTATTCAACTAAGGATCATGCACAATATCAACTAAGTTTCATTAATTTAAAATTTCCCAACAATTTCTTAATGTCTAACAATCACAAGCCATTAGATACTTTTAATACTGCTAATTAAAGTGCATTTACATATAACAATACACAAATGTAATTACTATCATAAACGATTGTTAATGATGATCATGACCAGGAAATTTATGATTAATTCAACATTACTATAATTTTAAAAGTGCCATTTCTTTGAAGAGTATACGGAGAATACAATATAGCTGCTAATGAAACAACTGTTACACAGTGGAAATTGAATAATAAACTGATGCACTGGCTTTCTGAAATATCTTATTGAGTAAATATAAATGTATTCAGTAGTATTGTGCATTGTATTATATGATTAATTTTTCCGGAATCTAATTGAATATTCACTTGAATTATCATTGTTCATGGTCATGTGACACTTACGAACAATCTAATTCTACAGTTCGCGTCAAAATGAGTTATGCATGTTTGGAATATATGATTGTCACAATTACATTCTTATCCAACTGAGAAAAAACAAACTACGTTTAATTATGTAACGACCTTAAGTCGTATTTTGATGTTTATTTGACCACAAGTGTATAAATATAATTGGATTATCTATGGAAAGTGATAAGTCTGGTTTGATTAAATCTCCTCATTTTGTGCTAAAGAAGCATGGTCAAACAAATAGTACACGTGGTCAGATCCGCAATTTGACAAACAAAACGATTCCTCAACTTGTTAACAGAACAGATGATGTAAAACATGAACAGAAGTCATTAATCACTGAAGAAATACCAACTGCTCGTATAAATACACGGCTATTTAATGCACGTAAACAATTCTCCAAACCATCTGTTCCAATAATTTCATTCGATGATCAAAACTCATTAACCACTAGTCCTCAGTCGTCAAGATCTACATTCAGTCGTAATAAAATGCACAAGACCGACTCAATAGAATCTAGAACATCAGTGTCTGTGTCACCAACCGAACCACATTATTCACCCCATTTTGAAAAAAATTTAACACAAGTCACTACAACTATGCGTGCCCTGTCAACGTCTCCACGTGTAGGTTCACCGAATGCTTTAATCCCTCCCTATGGTAAATCTTTACAGCCTTTGGCTTTTTCATATGATTCCATAAATCCCGATTATTATGCAAATAAAGATACAAATGACAAAAATTCACTTGAAGTTTACAACACTAATAATAGAAATAAACCAAAAGGTCTACTGAACGCTAAGTCCGATCTCATCAAAAGTTCTCATATAACAGGGAAAAGTTTTATTCCAATCACATCGTCTGTAGTGACATCGGCATCAGCAATAGCATCAAGTACAGGGGATGATATTTTATTAGGATTAGTGCACCAAAGATCAACAGAGTCACATGATTCCTCGATAAGTATGCCCAGTGTAACTAGTTCTGGTGGTAGTCCATACACATCAGGTGGTTCACAACTACTTAGACAAAATAAAAAAGAAGATAAGTTATACAGAAGTACTGAAGTTAATTTTTCCACAGATGACCAAGGAATAAAGCATGGTGAACCACATATTGTAAGGCGTTCAAGTTATGAAGTAAGTTATTTTGTTAGTTGTAATATTTTCCTATTTATGCATGTATCCATTGAGAGCTTCTTAGGTAGTTAAAACATTTTTTCTATTTTTAAGTAAATGCCTGTAAATATCTCGGTTAAACTAAATATTAGATTATTTTAGACAGATAGTGATAGTAAACTAGTAATGTAATTAACAAAACATCCTCCTGTGTCAATTAGTGTTTTGCCAAGCTTTCACACAAAAACACATACGAACTTCCAGAAAATGCCAGTTTCGGTTTATAAATTTCAAGGGATTCTTTTGTCATACTTTCAGAGTAAGACCACAGAAGCTACGTTGTCATTTTTATCAAAAGTGATTAATCCTTTCATACATTGTCTTCTATACAAATGATGAAAATATAACCAGTAATGATGAATAATAACTCAACATGATTCTTTTTAGGCACATTAATATATTAACGAATAAAAATCACAGTTCATTGAAATTATGACTTAAACATTACTTTTTTAATTTAATGACATAACCCCAGTTTCATACGAGCAGTTAGGATAAAATACTGAACATACGGTTCTTCTATGATTAATCACAATCTGTTGTTTACTTTAGAGTCAAACAGATTATTGCAAAACTTTTTTTTGATAACTTTGCATCGATTATAATTCAATGTTCCAATTCTCAGAAAGATAAAAAGTGTGATTTAATTGAATTTCCTAAAAACTGTAAAACAATATCGTCTAGTACATACTGACTACTCAATCAAACATATTTTTTGTATAATAACTTATTATGTATGATTATTAATCAAGGGGAAATAGTATATACATTACAGGTTAAGTGAGGAAAACATTTAATATTTTTAAAAATTAATATTCGACAAGAATATCACGTTAAGTGAAGTGTGAACATATTTATACAGATAACGTCTTTACATATTAAATAATGCAGTGATAAGTATCATTTTGAGGAACAGTTGAATAAGGATGACTGGATAAGCTTTTCTTCATAGCTTATTACCTGAATATCTTTGAAATTCACAACTGGATGTTTTGTTTAAACCTCTCCATTCATCAGTCAGAAACAGTTCAAGAGTAAGCTATTAAGAAGTTAACGTTAAAAATATTAAATATATGGTTCCTATTTAATATTTGGATAACACCGTGTGGCCATGAGAACTGGGGCTTTTCGGTTCAATTGTGGCGGGTTTTCACTAACTCAGAAATAAGGAGTAAAATGCTGTCTACCACACTCTGGGTTTTTTTTAAGATTCACTAATTCATTTCAATAGGTAATACTTGACTAAAAGGATTAGTTTTCGAGAGAACTTGTCAAATCAATCAATCAATCAGAATTAGAGAAAAATATTCCTAGAGTATTCATGTCGCTGCATCATAAGCGTGTCAAACAACTGACGAATGGTTCTTTAAATTTTTTATTGATTCTTTAATAATACAGTAACTTAGTATAATCACTTCACCAAAAACGTTAGATCGATTTATCTAGCTTTGCAGGAATCAAAATACCCAATTAACCGAATTGAAAATTGTCTGTCAATCGATCAAGCAACTACAACGGAACAACACTTAATTGTGAAAATGATTACAATTCAGGAAAACACATGTTCAATTATGAATAATTAAAAACAATTCTGGAAATCTTTGTTACGTTTAATTTAAATCCAGTACAGTAATCTTAAATCTATCTTTCCTTTCATTATAAGTTAACGCTTGGGTTACATACTTTCCAAATGCGAAAATATTTCAGTAATATTCTCTGTTATAATTTGTTTGACCGAAATGTTTGTGAACTTTAATTATATGCTCTGGCGATCTTTAAATGAAGGTTTACAAATTATTGCGATTAAAAGTAGTGGGAACCACCTCGATCCTAAGCACTTCAGTTGTTAGTACATGATATTCTTTCTGCCATTCAAAAAATGACAGGTGAGCATGTTTAAATTCGAGCTTGTTGTATGTGATAGATTGAAAAGATAGTTTCGGTATCTAAAGTGGTTGAAAACTTTTCCGATTGAAGATGAAAAGAAGATATGAACTATTTAAAAGTAAGTCATTAAAACCGTTAGATGTGGAATTAAATCTCAAGAGGTTAAGCGTCCATTCGTGGGACTGATGGCGCCGAATATGAATTCCGCTTGTTGGGTTGCATGTGTGCATAGCGGATGAGTTCCACACCGGGACGAAACGGCTGTTCAGTACTCCCAGCTCTTTAATGACGGTCTAACACTGAACGATTCATGTTTCCGATGAAACATTTGAAAAAATCTTTGTAAAAAATATATATTTGAATAATTGTCACTTGAATATACGTTAAGGAGTAACTTATCAAAAGTGTTAAACCACAGGTGTTAATAAATTCTAACTTTAACAAAATTTGCTGTATCGAATAAAAGTATTGATGGCATGAATAAGTACGATAAAATAATTTACATAAATGTAGTGATTTTTAGTAGTTAGACGTTTTCTTTAAAATTTCTTCATTGGAGATGACAAGGTATATAAGTATATATATATATATATATATATATATATATATATATATATATATATATATATATATATATATATATATATATATATATATATACTTATATATATATAATGAAGTGATATACTCACACAACGTATAATCGAACAAGTCGATAGTTTAATAAATCAACAAAGGATTTTACAATTATTCTTTAGTAAATTTTCTCACCGTCTCTGTGGATATATATTTGTATATACAACTATTCTAGTGAACATTTCTTGCTTTCATATAAGTTCGATTGTGCTTGTAGTATTTTAATTCAGAAATAATATCGAATAAATGTAGCTAATAAGATGGTAAACAAAAACGGTTTTATTGTCAAATATACTACTTTATCTAATCTTAGACATGTTTTTGAGTATATATTATGCTAACAATCAATATCATTCAAATACAGCTTCCTGAGTTAATAAATGTATTTACTAGTGTTCTGATTTTAGATAATTTTTTAAACTTTGTGATAAAGAACTATTACTGATAAAGTCAACCGTAATATTTGATACTTAAGCTTTGTTTTTAAGTGATTGAATGTGTTGGCGCACATTTATGGTTATTGATTTTGACTGACTAAAAGCTAAAACTTATACATGTATCAGTGATTAGGAACTGCTTTGATGGCTTTTTGAGTCATGATAGCGGTCTAATTAAACAGACAGAAGTACACAAAGTGTATAAAATGTACATAAAACCAGAGCATTTTATGTTTTGTAAATTATAAAACGTGACAACTTTATTCTCTCAAATAGACATTATTTAAAAAAATAGAAAATGAGGGTTATATAAAACATCTTAACACAACAGAATTCATGCACGTCTAAAACAGTGAACTAAAGATACTCATTTACTTCTATAATTTGGCTGTTAAATTCGTAAATTGTTTAGTTTAACCTTCGATATTCAACCAACATCACCATTTACATGTTTCATGTAAATGATTATTCATTTTTGCGCAAACCGGTTACTTGTTCTAACAATCAAAACGCTATTTCATAAAGTGGATCTCCTTGTTATATCATGTGATGAAACATTTTTAACTTCTTAATTGTTATGAAGGAAAGTGTTTCAAAATAACTCTTTGAAGCAAATGGTTAGAAATTCAAATTTTAATCACTCAGTTTGTTACAAGCATAAAGTTATATTTATTTTTTCACATGTACATGGAATACAGTTTCAGTGAACCACTTTTTTACATCTTAAAAAATATTTTCTTTATAAAATTCACTTTTCATGTGTTTAGACCTATTTCAAACATTTAAATGTTCAAATGCTGATTTCTTTTAGGTAGAAGTTATTATTATTATTATCATTATTCAGGTCACTTACAAGCGATTTATTTCAATTATCTTGGTAAACTATAAATTCCACAATAACTGTTGTAAAACTCTTCGCCATTTGACTATTACTGATTTAGTTGAGTTATTAGGTCAATAAAAAGTAATGCCTGTGTCATACTCTTCTTGCTGTTATTATTTGTCATGATACATTTCAAATGTTGAATTCATAATCCAGTAAATAACCAGAAAAAAATAGAATGGTCAGAATGAGTAGCCTTGTCTGATATCTATTTTTACTTCAAATGAGACTATTATCTGTCCTTCATACACGATTTCTCTGTTTAAACCATCACAAGAATGCCGTATCATACGGACCCTCTTGTCAGGTACACCATAGTGTCGAAGAAGGCTCCCTAGTATCATCTTGTTCACGGTTTCTTGTAGTTAAGGAAGTTGATGTAAGTGATGAGTTTCATTCACTTTGATGTTCAATAATGATTTTTAGTGTCACGATTTGGTCTGTCCTTTTTGATCTGTCCTTATGGAATCCTCTCTTTTTATCTCAAAGTTAGGCTAGAAATAATGAATAGTCAAATGAAAGATTTATGATAGATTTCATGCGTAGACTTAAAAATGATTTATTTACAAACAGTAAACAGATAGATAAAATGTTTATGAGAGTCTACACATGTCATCTCTTAATTTTTCATAGCTTCGTTATTTACGGTACAACTCAACTTGCAGCCATCATGTTGCAGATTTGAATCCTTCCCCTTTTCAAGTATTAAAATAGGGAGCCATAATACTGCTCATTGCTACTTTCTTTCATTATTATTATTCTTATTCTTCTTACTATTATTATAGTAATCTATTGATTCATATCAACTAAATTGTTGTTTAGACTCTTAATATGATTATCCTTTTAAAATTTAACACTCGGGTTTAGTAAATATACTGAATACACTATAGATGATTTTAGTTTCTACAAAATTCCCAACTTAAACATATAGGAAAGTTACTGTTAATTGATCGATATAAATATAATGATATGAATATTAGTAGTAATCATCAAATTAGAATGTTATTTATTCTTAAAAAGATTGAATTAAATTTAATTGCTTTTATGCATTTTACAAATAAACTTGCTTATTGATTAATTCAAACACTAGCGTACATGTAGTGATTGACGAAAGAGCGATTCTTTTTCTTAATCAATAAAATCTGCCTATTATAATACATTTGGAAATAATATAGAAACTTGTCTGATAT